TGCCCACCACTCACAGTGGGACTGGCTGGGTTTGGGGACAGTGCCAGCACAGTGGCAGGAGCCAGGCCATCAAGCTGCAGCCCTGAGGTTTCCCGTGGGCTGGCAGGACCAGCCCTTGCCCACCCTTCATGGGGCTCTGACCAGGTGCAAGCCCAGCTACGGGTGCGGAAGAGCTGGGGGGTGGAACCGGTGAGATTTGCCTGACCCCAGAGATGACTGCAAACTGCTGCTCTCCCAGCACCTCTGTTTATTTGTCCGGGCACGGAGGCGAAGTGTTCCTGCTATGCAAAGAGCAGGCGGCACAAGGCCCACGGCCTGCATGCCAAGCAGCCACCGATCAAAGCCAGGCTTGTTTGGCCAGTGGTCCCCGGCAGAGCCATCGTCCCCCCCTCACTTCTCTGCATTGCTTTCCGGCTCTCTCACCAGGCTAAGCAGCTTGTCCAGCTTTGCAATTTCCACCTCGGGGCCCTTCTTAACCACTTGGCCTTTCTTCTCCTGTGAAGAGAGCAAATGGGGCAGAACTGTGAGCAGGGAGGACCGCGGGGATGGGGAAGGGTCCAACATAGGGAAGAATGCTGGGGGTCCCAGCTTGCAGCCCTTGCCGAGGGATGATCCACAGGGGGCTGCAGCTGCCTGTCCCCATATTTCAAGAACAAGATTGGGGAAGGGTGGTAAGGAAGGGCTTGGGTGGGGATCGGACTGGGTCTGTTGATCCACAGTGACACAACCCCTCTTCTGCCCCTCTCCTCGAGCCCTTCTCAGCCCCATGGGGCTGGGCACCATGGAAAGCAGACTCTGAGCACGGGTAAATGGGAGGGCTGGTACCCAGCCTGACATGCAGGCTCGGGAGAGGTGGCAGCAGGTCCCCAACACAGTGGCACAGCAAAGGGGAACATCACAAACAAGGCTTGGAGGCAGCTGACAGAAAACTGCTGTGCTGGCTCCTCCTGGCATTTCCAAAGCATGGTCTCTGCATGGGGATGCTCCTGGGAGGCCAAAGGAGCAGCACAGAGCGTCTGAGCAAGGAGAACACTTGCTTTCTTTTCTCTCCACTTAGAAAAGATCAATTCTAGCACCTCTAATGGCCCCGGGTGCAGCAATTACAAAATGCACCTTTCCTTCAGCTCTGGAGACAAGCGCCGGGGCACAGCAAAAAGAAAGTCACAGGCTGCAGAGATCTTGCTACATTTCTCAAGCAAATGTGGGCATTGCTGAAGGCGATGAAAGCTGGGAAAGAAGTACCATGGGGACCCCTGTGCTGCTCCCTCATCCCAGCCCAGCACAGCCCTGAGAGAGCAGAGGTTTCCTTGGCTGCCAGAGGGCATGACTGGGGTGAAAGCAGCCCAGGGTTATATGGAAGCACCTCTTGTCCTGAGAAGAGAGCCCTGCTCCTTGCCTGAGCGCTGGGATGAGCTCAGGTTGCTTTTAATGGTGCTGGTTCACATTAATGTCACTAAGTGAGCAACGCCCTTCGTGGCTCGGGTCCGGGCGGGCACCGGAGCGATGTTTGTGCTAACGGCCCACGTCACAGCTGAGCAGCTCGCTGAGCGGGAGCGTTGGGATAAACACAGCTGCTCGGGGTATTTCGGGACTTAGCTATTTCTGCAGAAAAGCTGCTTTGCTCTCTGACGGTGCTAAAAACACTCCCTTTGGCACCCTGCATCGCACACAGCACCATACACAAGTCCTTGGGACGGGCTAAAGAGGCAACTGCTTTGCTTATCCAGGAAAAGAAGATGCTGAAGCCATCTTCCATTGCTCTACCTCCATCCAAAGCCTTTCATCACTCTGCCCCCTGGTAGGGTCAGGGAGGGCCCCTGACTGATGCCTTCCAGGTAGTAACACCAGGTCTATGGGGACCATGTCTCAGCCTTGCTGAAGTCACCAGGCACAGGCAAGGCTCAGCTCTTAGTCACTGAGCTGTCCCTAAAACCTCGACTTTCACACTGGCTCGGCTCCTTTTGTGCTTCTGAGCGCGCC